CTCGCGCGCGCGCAGGACGTCGAACAGAAGCGCGGACTGCACCCCCGCAAGCGCGGCACAGTCCAGCAGCCCGTGCCGCGTCTCGCAGCCGGCGCCGAGCACACCCGCCAGCTCGCCCTCGAAGCTTGGCGCGTCGAGCTCCGCGGGCGGCGGCGGTGCGGCCTGCAGGGCGCGCAGCTGCAGCAGGAGCCTCGGAGGAAGAGGTACTGATGCCGCTGCTCGTCCAGAGTAGTGGGTCTGACGCACATGGGGTCCGCGAGGGAGAGGTGCAGCAGTGCTTGCGATAGTTGGCGCGTGGATGCCATAGATTGCGCGCTGGGTGCGAACATAGCGCACGGATGCATGCAGTTGTGCACCCGCTTACGCATGCAATCGTGGTTGCCCGTGCAAGAAGTTAGCTTGTGCATCCCCCCTGCACCAATTACATCATGCTACTGGTACACAATGGATGAACGATTGTACTTCTCAAGGGACCTACAACCGGCCCTTCTCATAAGGATGCGCGAAAAGGATGCAAGTGCCCTGGACGCCCGCTTCCAAGCTTTCCGAGCGGAGCGCGGCCAACGAAAGTGGCCAAGGATGGCAAGGATGCAAGGGGTACCCTGGGGAAGGGCGCCCCGCCTTATATCCTGCGGGCTGGCTGTACTCCAGCTCAGAAGAACCGACGCCTTCCCGGCTGGATTCGCCCTCGAACCTCTGGCAAGGAGGCGCCCCTGAAAGGGTTGCGTTAGGCCGGGCGTGTCCCCATACAGGCAGATCTTGCACGAACATTGAGAAAGACCAAACAATTCAAAACATGTCCAATATATGTATATATAACCCCTCGACTATTGTTGGACTATTTTTGCATACCCCACCGAGGGACACGCACGACTTAAAGGTGGCGAACATTTTGCAAAGTTGCGAGAGGCCACCACGGCTGGAGGAGCTCCGTGGACCCCACGCGTCTTCGGACGCGGCCAAGAGGGGGGGGTCAAAGAGGGGGGCGTGCAAATCATGACCGGCGGCATGTGCGCGGCCCAGCGGGGGGGCCAGGGACGTAATGAAATAAGAAAAGGCGCCATAAAATCTGGGGAAACATCATGGCCCCCGCCATGAGATCCCCCCCCCCTTGTCATCACCCCCTCCTTTTCCGCCCCCGACGTCTGTGGCCACACAGCACTCCTCACGAGGCCCAGGCCTCGTGAGGAGTGCTGTATGGAGGCCGCGGGGTTAAGTCGGGCATGTCCTCCTACAGGGGGGATGTTCAAATTTTGTCAAACAGAAAATATGGGGACTATGTTTTAAGTATTTTGGGGCATTTTCTGAATTTTTGAACTGTCTATTTAAAATGTGTCGTCCAACATCTGCCTGTAGGGGGACACGCCCGACCTAACCGTGGGGGCCTCCTTGGAAATCTCAAGGGCTCCCAACTTCGCGCTTCGCGCTGCGCGAAACGCGACGTGCGAACAACTTCGCGCTCTCTCGCGCGGCCTCCCAGGGGAGAAGAGGAGGATGAGGAGGAATCGGAGACGAACCGCGAAGCGCGAATAACTTCGCGCCCTCGAAGGCGGCCTTGAAATCCTGGGGGCGACTTGGGCAAGGGGCACTCTTGGCAGCACCCGGCTGTGGACCCCGCTTTTGCGCGGCGTCTGTCGGGCCGGATCGCTCTGTGACGGCCCTGCGGGGGCCGGGAACGGGGCGAAGGCGCCTCTCGTGACAAACAATGCCAAGTGGCGCCCGAAGTTGTTCCGTCCGAGGTCCCCTGGGAAGTCCTGGTCCCGCTCCCCAGGGCCGGGGCTTCGGCACGAGTCGTTTCGTTGACGGCCCTGGGGCGGCGAGGGCCGCCAGAGGCTACAAGTAGGTCGGCCGTGTCCTCCTACAGGCGGATGTTGGACGAAACGTGAGAAATAGTCAGACAAAGACACCAAAATAGTAAGAAAAGAATCGAAACATCGTCCCCATATATTTTTTGACTATTTTTGAATACTCCCCCTGTAGAAGGACATGCCCGACGTAAGCCTGCAAAATCGCCAAGACAAGCATCCCGCCGTGGCTTTTCCGCGAGGGAACTGTGGATCCGAGGCCGCCAACAGAAACGTCCCGCCAGGAGGAGGAGGAGGATGATGACGAGGAGGAGGAGGAGGAGGAAGACGACGACGAAGAGAAGAGGAGGAGGAGGAGGAGGAGGAGGAGAAAGAGGAGGAGGAGGAGGATGAGGAGGAGCCTGGCTGCACCTAGGAGTAGGTGGAGGTGGAGGAGGAGGGGAGGCGAGGCGAGGGGGCTGTGAATCCGAGGCCATCTGCCGCGCCGGTGGAGCCCGTCGCGCTCGGCCTCCGCGGCCTCGCAGCCGCGCCGCAGCCCCAGGTTCTCCGCGGCGGCGCGGCGCAGCGCGGCGGAGGCCTCCGAGGAGGGGCTCGAGGCGTATGCGCCGCGGCGGCTGGTCGGCCACGGAGCTCGGTGCGTGGGCGCCCCTGCTGCCTAACAATCGGTCGGGCTGTCCTCCTAGGGGCGAATGTCTGGAAGAAGCATGAAACATAGTCCAACAAATATTCAACAATAGTCAAAAAGAAACAAATCGTCCCCAGACGATGTGTTCATTGTTCTACGATGTCCCCCCTGTAGAGAGACATGCACGACTTCGGCCTAACGCCTGGGACGCTGGAGCGTCGAGGTTGTTTTACATCAGGTATTGTAACGGTCGTTGCCCGCGGGGGGCAGGGCGGCTAGGGCACAAGGTGACGGTAACGCGTGGGCGGGGTGCAGCACGTCCAGGCGGAAGCGCACTGCGATCGCCACAGGATGCGCACGAGCACCATCGTGTGAGGGTGGGCACGCCCCCGCCCTCTGCCCACGTACGATCGTCACTGTTCTCCTTGGGGGGGGCGCGTGACGACCGTTACGCGCCAGAGGACTTTAAAACAAAACATAGATCTGGCGCCATGCTTTTGTTCAATACGAGGCCCCCAGAAGATCCGACCCTCTCCCCTGGGCTTGTTCTGCGTGCAGGGCCAGTTCTTCAAGGTGACCCAAGGCCTGGCGAGGGCCCCGGGAGGCCGAAATCGACGAGAAACTTCCGTTGTGGAGTGTTTCGTTCCATGCGACGACCGAAAGCGACACCGAAATCGACGACCGACGTGTGTTTTCCCATGCGGAATCGACGACCGCACTCGTCGGGAGGCCGACATCGACGACCAAAGTGTTTTTCCATGCGCTGGAGGTCTGCGCTGCGCCGAACTTAGCAGGAGAAATAACGCATAAACATAAACTTTTGGCGCTCCGCGCGGATTTCTTGGATTCGCGCTGGGACCTCCTCCCTGGCGCGCGGAGCGCGCCAGGAGCGGCGGCGCCGGAGGCGCCGCCGCGGGGCCCATTGGCGGATCCAAGAAATCTGCGCGGAGCGCCAAACGTTTACATTCATGCTTTCCCAACATTTTCTTGGGGTGGAGGGCTCAGGGTGGAATCCATATGGGCTCTAGCACCTCGAAAATCAATCCATCTTGTGATACACCTCTTGCAGATTGAAGCCTCGACAATTCACTGAAACGGCATTTCAGATTTTACCCTTTGCCCTCCACCCACAGAAAATGCTCGGGTTTTTTCTTTGGCGTGGCTCCGTGGAGGAGGAGGAGGAGTAGGAGGAGGACGAGGAGGAGGAGGAGGAGGAGGAGGAGGAGGAGGAGGAGGAGGAGGAGGAGGAGGAGGCGCGAGGAGAAAGAACTTCCTTGGCTTTTCCCCCCGGGGGTGGCCCGGCGCCCGCGGCGTGGTGCACATACGCCTTAAAGGCCCCTCCGAGGCCTCGCAGAGGCGGGCCGCGAGCTGCGCCTCGCCGAGGCGCGCCGGCTCGACGCCCTGCGCCTCCTGCCGCCCGGGGGAGGTGCAGCCGGAGCCGGGGGCGAGGAGGAGGAGAAGGAGGAGGAGGAGGAGGAGGAGGAGGGAGGTTCGGCGAGGTTCGGCGATGACGACGATTCACGCAGGCAAACTGGGTGAAAAGCCCATGCAACAACTATAAAGTTAATAGAGTCTAGGGTGCGAGACGGCGTATGCAACGAGGTGCTCTAGGCGGCCCACCCTTTCGGCCAGGGCGGCCAAAAACAGCAACGCTGCGCGCACCGCAACCACTATCAGTAGCTGCGGCTGGTGCCCTAAGCATCAGCGGCGAACGGGCGTGGGTCGCCCACTGTTGGCGAGCCGCTCCCCGTTGGGGCCCTTGCCCTGCAACAGGTAGCGGCGTTTGTAAAATCGGCTAGTGCCAGGTACGGGAAGTCCTATACATGGCTTAGCGATTAAATGCGCGCGCGTCTCGCATCGCGCAGCGCATTGGGCACATAAAACGAGAGGCCCGTTGCGCCATAGTCTATGGGAACTATGGGCAACACGCACTCCCAGCGGAAGCCCCTGACACGGTTGTGCCAAGAGGCCTCTGCGCGTGTGTCGATTTCTACCGCAGGTGTCGCAGTAGTATGTCATGCCACGCTTTATTATAGTATGCCCTCTCGTGTCGAGCTGCTGTGGTCTCGCACGAGTGGGCCCTTCATAGGGAACAGGGTCAGCGTCGGCAAAATCGCACCTCGCACAGCGCCTGAGTATCCTCAGGGCCATGCGCAGTGTGAAAACGGCAGAGCATTCTCTTGCGTGGCGAAGCGCTTCGGCATACCCATTTTTGGGATGCATCGAAGCGCCCTGTTTGGCAAAAGCGTCAGCTGCTTGATTGCCCAACCACATAGCCAGAGGTATCGCATCGCGAATTCTCTGACTATCGCTGCGGTGGCTGGGTATCCAGATCACATCAATGCCTTCTCGCCCGACGTCGTGCACCAGGCGCCAGAATTCACGCCAGAGTTCCCCGAGGTGATTTCGAACGTGAGCTCCTGAATCATCGCCTCGATCCCATGCTTTCTTGAGTTCCAGGTAATCGGTGACTATGACGATGTTTCTCGGCCCCTTGTGTCGGAGCGCTATGATCGCTGCCCACAGTTCGCCTGCCCCCGAGCACGTCCATGGGAAAAGTACTGGGCCATATGCAGCCCCTAGCACGCCGCCGCGATCATCGATCATGACGGCTGCCCAGCCAGCACGCGCCAGAAGAAGGATGGTGAGCATGCTTCCCCGATCCGTCAGTGCACACCAGCCCTTCGAACCCTCCATTGGGCGGTTCGCGGAACCAGACAACACGGTCATACTGATGTGGAGGTGGGAAGCCGTACTTCGGGTCGTGGGCTGGGTCAGGGACGAGGCCCTTGCACGTAATGTACGTCATGGGGTGGTTGTCACCGTGTTCCACACGCCCTTGTGCAAGAAGCTTTCGTTCAGCACCGCACCAATCTTGCCTTACTGCTGCATGATAAAGACAACGATATAAGCGATGTGACGGGGTACCTTCTTCATGTTTACATAAGGCACACATGGGATTTGGTGCCGCCCCATGTCGGAAGAGGCGATCCTGCGTCCCAGACCCTCCTGCAACCCATGTCCGAATCAAACCCGCACCTTGGTAATCTTCTTTTTCTCTGAGCTCTTTCACCAATTTGGCAGCGGGTTCAAGTAGAGGTACTCCTTCGAAACCTTCCAGACGGCACTCGCTTAAGATCTTTGCAGTAGTGGCTTGGTCCACCAACTTCCTCAGCGTGTGAACCCCGATCTCATGCAAGTTTATGAGCAGACCTTGGGGTGAGACAGACTGCATCGCAGTCTGCCTCGAACCCTGTGCTGTTATAAGGCTGGCCATATTACTGGGTATGTACCATTTGTCCCAACTGATGGCTTCCCACCCCAGCCGCTTAAGAGTGAGTAGTACGGCTCCAGCTGGTCCAAGCACTGCTCCCCAGTTGGCCGGCCTGCTCACCGCGTAGCTGTGGGCCATCTTCATCTGGTTTGGAGTGGCCCATCCAAGCCAGAATGCTTTCAGCCATGTGACCAGAGGCAGCGCGTTGGCGTCATAGGTCGGGTCGCACTTCGGGTCGTCAGACAACATAAATTCGACTGTCCGAGATCGCCCACGAGGTGGCCCGAAGATGGCAAAAGCAGCGGTGGCTCGAAGACTAGCAAGTTGCGCATCAGGAGCGCCATGTACACGCATCCCATATGTAACAGCAGGTAGTCCTCCAGCTCTGTAAAGCCGACAAACTGATCGTCCTCCACACGCGAGCCTGCGAAAGCGTGTAATGCGAACGTTCATTTTAAAGGCCCGTTTGCTTTGAACAGGCCTTCCAGTTCTCATCATGCGTCGGTCAACACCGAGCTGCTTGACGATCCGTTTGGGCTGAAAGCGATATGAAGAAAGCTGCACCGCAATATGCCTGGCAATTTTGTCGTGGCTAGCAACAACTTGACCTTTGTCCAGGCTAACTTTCATTCTGCGCTGCTTGAATTGTTCGCAAGCAAACTGAGCTGCCTGAGTGACAGTTTTGACAACGTCCTTTGTTTGTCCTCCAGCCTGCACGGTGGAATCATCGATTACCACCGAGAGGTCGATACTAGGCCACAGGTAATACATTCTGTCATAAATGCCCATGCTAAAGCATTTAATGACGCTTACAGCGAACCCACAGCCTGCAATCACTCCTCGGTTGGTCATGATAACATTGCTCATGTGGGATCCAAATTTGATGGACCTTCTACCCCCATAACAGTGCAACAGCATGGCCATTCTGCGTCGTGGGAACCCGTGACGCACAGCAGAGTCCCAGAGGAGGTCATGATCGATGGTCTCGAACGCTTTGGCCAAGTCTATGAGGACCGCTGCTGTGTGCTTACCCATGGACTTTGTGGCCTCCACTATCAGGGCTTGCCTCCAAACTGCTTGTTCCGTGCTGCGGCCAGCACTGGCATATTCAGAATGCCTCTTATGCCCTGCATCCCACCTGTCCTGTTGTGGCTGGCGGGCTTTATTGTATACGCGCAGCGCGTCGGGGAGCAAGCCTATCAGGCGATGCCCCCCATCGGGCTTGGGTAACTGAGGCAACAGAGTGTTGCGTAAATGCTCAGGCAACTTGCCGAGGCATTCCGCTTGATGCATCACTTCAGCAAATGCCGTGAGGCACTCATCCGAAAGCATCGCCATCGAACGAGGCCGTATTCGGTCAGTGCCCGAGGCAGTTTTGCAGCTGAAGGTACTGGCAGCAGCCCTGACATCCTGAGGAGTAAGCTTTGGTGGAGGCTCCTCATCGCCGAAGTCGTGTATCTTTTCGCAGAAGGAAGCAGCACCATCGGCGCGCTCCCAAACCTCCTTCCAGACATCTAGATCTTCTTGGAGTCTTTGTGCGTGAGCAACTACACCTCGTCCTTGATGCTCTGCGCGTGCAGGCACCCAAGTTTGCGGCGCCTTACTCCAAGCGTGCGCCTTGGCGGTGGTGTTTTGGACTTGCGTCTGCACCTCGCGTTTCCAAAGGGTGAGTCGCTTCTTGGCACACTTGATTTCGATGCTGGTTGCTTCTTCTGCTGCAGCCCAGCTCATGTCTCGCAGCCAGTCGTCGCATAAACACCATTCCGCCGTTGC